CGTAGGCATCCGCTAAGAAAGGATTTTGATCAATTCTACCCCCAAGGGGATAAAATAGGGAATGAAAGTTTGTACGAAACTTTGTAAATTTTAAACCGATCGGGCTGAGACTTTGCATGAAGGTATAAGAAGAATCAAAGATGAATGTCATTGTGTATAATACAAGCCTGAGAACAAAACACTTCAGCTCTACACCGAAGCGAAGCGAGGGCGGACCGCTAGTTTTATATATATAGATAGAGTAGCAAGTAAGCACTCATAAATGTCTAGAAGCTACGCCATCGGTTTGTAAATCTACGACGGGAGACCTTGTACTGAGAAGAACCGGCAAGAAACTCAGCAAGGGTTGTTTTCACAGTAATACAGGGTCAAGAGAAGTAAGTAGTAGAGTATGTGAAAATACTTTATTTCGTCTTATTTCATTCCTCGGGGATTAACTTAACATAAAAATATACTAAACGATTGATAGTAAGAATATTTGCATAAAACGGAACGGCACCATGTAAATGTCGCCCGTAGCTCATTCTTGCAACGTTTTCGTGGCTGTGTATGGCTTTGTACCATGCTTTTTCCCATTGCGGATAAAAAAAATAAAAAAAAGTAAAATATTTAGTAGCCCAAAATATAAAATGGAATAAAAAGTACTTAATTTTGGACAGTTTCGTTTTTCTACAAATGCTCTATGAACATCCTTCTATTCTCTTTCTGTGTTTTGTCATCATACGTACCGCTAGACAATAAAACTCCCTTGCCGCCTCTGTATGTAAAGAGGCATAATTTGATTTTGCGTGCTCCAGCTTAGACCACATCGTTGCTTAATATCAGGTGCCATTGCGGTCCAAAGTACTCAAATCTTTTATGTAAAAAAATTGGTTCACGCTATTAAGCACATTCAAAATTCGAAAAGCTACGCCTTTGTGTCCCAAATACGCGACGGAAGAGCTCAAACATATTAAGAAGAACAGACAAGAAACTGAGCAAAGTGTTTGAGATAGCCATTCGGATCCTTTGACAGACAAAAATGTTCAAGTTTGGTTAATTTTATAATTAAAATGATCAATATTGTGGTTGTGGTTAAATAGAAATATAAATTTGACTTTTACATTTTAAAAAATTGCTTCCGTGTTTCGTGTACGAATAATTAAGTGCATTTTTAAATCAAATTATAATATTTCTTGAATTTATGAAATAAAGGGCTCCACGAGGACGATGATTTTGTCCTTTGGTCCGTGGGGTCCCCTAGCACTATAAGGCTTTTTAAGGAAATAGCAAAAAGGTTAGTAGGCATCACAGGAGACCGAAGAGTTGGTAGCTACCTCGGATAAAGAATTAGTCTATCTATTTAAAGGGAGAACGCTGCCAGTATCTTAGGAACCTTGTCTAAAGGGAATCCTTTTAATAATATATTTTAGTTGCAAATCGATTAAGATTCCCCGGTGCATAACGTTACAACTTACTATGCATAAGGTACTGTAACTTATTCATAATAAAAAGAATAAAATATTTTCTACGGGATAATTATCGTACAAGCCGCAATTTCCATTTCTATATCATTTCCGCAGTAAAAAATACTACCAAGTAACTGTTATTTATTGATTCCTGTTGGCCAGTCATCATTCCTGGATACGTTTATGCGGTTATACGCGGTCTGATTAGACACTACACTACCGGTTAGACGGTAAAATTACCTAAAGCGAATGAAAATTAACACAAGCCGCATTTCATGTTTTATATATTTATGAATAGGAATTTTCATGGTTAGGAACAGCAGAAACCGTATGTTCTATGTTATTTTTACGTAATTATTCCATAACCATGTAATCTTAAAGTTTTATTAAGATATAACGTGTCATTAAGAAATTTTAAGAATATTAACTAATAATATAACAACGTCATGCTTAATAAAAATATCGATCATTTTAAGACACGTCACTAGTTCGAGGATCATTAAAAATAACTGTTTTTATAAAAAGTTAAAACTTCATGCAAATATTTTAAGAACATTAGAGAAGACTCCTTATATGATGTACTTTAACGCCCTTTAAGCTTTATTTGTATTTTTGTAACGTCCTGTATATACTATATAAGTAAGTGAACTTTCAAGAAAATTATAATAGATATAAACGTATGGAAGATTGAAATATGCACTTTTATTCTGACTTAATATAATTTGTATTGAAAATAATTTCCGAGTCATGTTTTAGTGTGGAACATGTTATCTGAAGTTTTCTCCATTTATATTGGAGTATTATTTTCTCTGTGTGGAACAGATATGTATATGAGTAATGGGTGTGAGTTACTATTAAATGTGATCTAATGTGGTCTTAGAATCAATTTATTACTTGCTTTTATCAACCTCCGCCTCAAGTCATTAAAAAATGCAGTTTGAATGTAGGCACATAATATTGTTCATTATATGATTGAATCTAGGCTGAACTATTAAAACATAAGTAAGAACGGACACAGAATGCAGGAATTGCTAAGTAATATGCACTTGCACATGACTGTTATTACGTTCATATCAGTAAAAAGATCTCTCATTCCTTATAAGAGGAGCGGTGCGGTGAATACTTAGTATGTTTGAAACAAAAAGGATAGCAAAGCATAAGGCTTAACTCGAGCCTTATCCTTTGCTATGCCGAAATGCTTAAAAATAATAATAATAATCTAATACTCTGAGATATACACACATCAAAAGTGTCTAGGGATCAACATATATTTTTGCAATAACTTTTCTCCTGATTGATATTAATTAAAATTTTCTTTAAGGATTCATCAAATAAAGTGTTTTCGTTTGTCACAGTAACGATAAACCAAGTCACCTTTGCATTAATAAAGAAATTTGCCATTTTCCTAATAAAGGGATTTTTGACATTTGAACCACTAGCACAAAAGTTCGAAAAAAAGACTGAAATAACAGTTTTCTCTAAAATTTTATTGGGTAACTTAAACAATTAATAATCCGTATTTCTACCGCGAACACTAACAACACAAGAACATCGGTTTGGCATACTCAAAATGAGTTCATCCAAATCACGCTGTGGAATGGCCGCCCATGTTCGTTGCAACAACAAAAAAAGGTCTTCTTGCGACTGGATACCCTCCATATTCGGCAGAGCTCTTCTCTGTAGCATATCCCATGCATGCTCAATCGGGTTCAAGTCTGGCGACTGAGCAGGCCAGGGCAGGACATTGATGTTAGCTGCGGCGAGAGTCTGTCTTACAACTCTTGCGGTGTGCGGTCGTGCATTATCATGCATTAACTGAAATAAGGGACCGATTTGCACTTGTAGAGGAACGATGACGTCTGATACAATCGTCTCAGCATAAATTTGAGCGTTGAGGTTGCCTCTGATCCAAATCAACTCAGTTCTTCCGCCGATCCAAATACCCGCCCATACCATGATGGTTCCACCACTATAAGGATGGACTTCCTGGCAGGATTTTAATCGCTGTTGGCGTCCAGGGGTTCTCCAGTGTCGTATACGTCTTGTATCCGGTCTCATACCAAAACGAGACTCATCAGAAAAGCACACGAAACGCCATTGTTCTTCTGCCCAATTTCTGTGTTCAAGAGCCCATTGATATCGAATCCTACGATTGTGCATTGCTATAGGTGGTACCCGTAGCGGTCTTCGGGAATGAAGGTTCACTTCATGCAAGCGGTTTCTGACTGTTTGGTCGCTAATTAAGTTCCCTGAAGAGTGATGAAGCCTCACGACTAACATCATGGCGGTTATTGTTGGAGCTCTTCGAGTTAAGATTTGAATGTATCGGTCTTGTCTCCGTGTGGTGCAGCGATACCGTCCTCCATGGCGCTCAGCCACGGTACCAGTGCTTCGGTATCGTGTCCAAAGTCGACTGATAACACTCTGACTTGTATTCAGAGCTAAAGCCACAGTACGTTGCCGGGAACCAGCTTCTATCATTCCCACGGCTCTGAGCATATCTTCCCTGCTTAAATGACGTCGCCGCTCCATAATAACGTTGGTTTTAATCAGTAGTAGGGAAACAGTAGCACTAATAATGTCTTCAATGCGTTGTATGTTTTTATAGGGAAAATATTGACAGCTGATTTTCATCTTTTACTCGAATTTGATTCACAGTTCCTGATTCAAATTATGAAATGCACCAAAAAGGATCCATATAAATGTATAAAATCATAAATTTATTACAAAGCCACATCTCAATCTCAAGAAATCCGCATAAAAATGCTTGATCCCTAGACACTTTTGATGTGTGTATTTCTTATAATTAAGATGCAGTATGATAAAACATTCTAGTAGATGTTCTAGATATTTAAGAAGTTTTATAAGTATTCTATTTAAAACACAAGTTTGTACATTACAAAAAAAAAAATAGAACTTAGAGTTTCTTTCTAGTTCGGCAAGACGAAAAGTTTGATTAGGCAATCCTACTTCGCAAAATTTCGGTGGATCATTACGTCTTCGCTCGAACTCGACACAACTCACTTTCGTAACCGATTTCTTAATTAGAATTCACAAATTGTGTAAGTATTTGCTTGACACTTTTTTTCTTTTTTTATCAGCATTTTTTTGGCCAGCCAGTGAGAGTATCCCATTTCGCGACGAAAGACAGATCGCGTCTGAGGCGCCGCGCCGGCGCGCGTCCGTCGCGGCGCGTTTTCTTTCATTTTTTGCAACAGATGACTCTGATTTCTAAATAATTTAAATACGTGCACGTACGTTGCACGCATTAACGTCGCATCTGAATTAATTAAGGAATTAGGTTTCTGTGTATTTATTAGATGTGGGATCGCGTGACGGCAGTGAAAAAGTAAATATGTATTCTTTGAAATTAATGGTATTGCACAGATGAATATTTTTGCAAATATGTAAAAAATTAATTTCATTCATCTTAAATATTTATTACATTTGTGAAGTTATAATGCATATTGAAGTATACTTTAAAAAATATATATATTGTAATATGATAACATTTAGGTAATTTTTCTCAGACGCTCGGGTGACTCAACTTACGTCTACAAAGTCAGAGTGTGGAAATCCAACAAAAACACAAAACCATGTCACTGTCACACGAGATCGATTGGCACACTCGCGACGCAGACGCAAGCGCGTGCGTTCCCTACAGTGGCGTGCGCGCAACTGATCGCCGCGCGGTCGCGGTCGGCGCAGCTGGTGAAACGGGCACGGCTGCAGTTTCGAGATATGAAATGGAAAAGTGGTCTGTCTCGGACGATGGTTTGAGAAAAAAGTTTTACGTCTTTCGTGTTTTTTTTTCCTATAAAAAGTTTGTTTAAACCTCTTTCCTCATTCAGGTCTATACTATTACAATAAACGGGTATTTTATCTAATCAATCTTTGTAACTTTTTATTTTGCTAAAACAATACTTCAGTTCAAGTTTTCACATAAAAAGTTCAACCTGCTCTTTTCTTCATCAGTAAAATTGAATGTTAGTATATCTTTTATTCAATTTCACCCACCAATCCGCAATGGGCTCGCGTGGTAGGTCATGGCACAGTCTCCCTATTCCATCCATAGGGAAGGCCAGTGCCCCAGCAGTGGGGACATTAATAGGTTGATGATGATGACGATATTTTTTATTATATAGAAAAAGAACTATATAGAAAGGTTGCACAAAATATTCAAACTTATCGTTCTCAAAATCTGTAAGGAGTAAATTATTAAGACTGTTTCTTCATTTGGGTCATTACCTTAAAATACAACAATTCCATTTTAAAATAAAGGGAACAATTAGAAAAAAAAACTATTCAGAGCCTCGGATGTCACAAAAAGAGGCGAAGAAAAACTCACAATAGACTGAATGACCGATTCGCTAAGGTTTACTTTTCAATTTCATAGCAATGAAACTTCGATGTGAACGAGTTACTATTTGCATAGTCATTTGCCTTTATCGCTTCACTACGTCCCCGTGTTAGTAAGTGAGAAACAAATCACTAGGAACTACCTAACTAAATTAATGTACTATATACGAGTAGGTACGAACATCGTACGCTTGGTGCTAATTAGTTCCAGATTTACATAAAACTTAGACAGACGGCACCGTTGCAAACCAACTTCCGTAGAAATGCTTGTAAACTCCAAAAGGAATTATAAAATTAATGAAATCAGATAACATTTATGCATGCTTTGAGAAAAAAAAGTTGTTTAATAAAAATTAGGGTCTTCATATAGATAAAATTGTTTATTTGTTAAATTCTCTTTTGTAATTTTTATCTATATTGCGATACCCTGACAGGGTTCATGTTAGGTACTTTATGCATTTGTAACTTGTAACCATCCATGTAACCACATGACTGCAATAAATTGAAATTGAAAGGAGAATAAAATTATATCAAGTACCTACTTACCCCAATTGCAATACTGAGAATCGCCAGTCGTCAATTGCTATAACAATGAACAAAACGATGAGTTGTGTTATTTCGTCATTCATGTTATTTTTGATGGCATCTTTCTGTAATGGGCATCTTTCTGGAACGGGCATCCTTCTGAAATTACTTACTGGGTAGATACAAGTTTTATATGCAAATTGTCACAAATAACATGTTCCCTCATTTAATTGTTATGACAAATAAAGTAAAGCCACCAATTTTATATGATACTCACTATAGCTTTGAGTTCAGCAGTAACGTTATTAAGGCCGCGTGGTTTCCTCTATACTTAACTTGACTATATTTTATGTAACATCAAATACATAGTAAATATGTGAAATTTTGACAAATAGTTATTCTTTCACAAGAATTTTAACTAAAGTCAAGTCGTTCAACTCAAATTTAACTATAAATAAAACAACGCGGCCTGTGCGATAATGCTGAAGGAAATAAATCTATGCATAACTTTTGTAACTACATTCAGTCAGTCTTTATTTATGTTATTATTTGTTCAGGCTAACTATTTTTAATATTTATATTTAATTACTAATCAATTACAAATTGTGTTAAAGTTGTTGGGTTTGCGATTTCCACCACCTTTTGCAAAACAAATTTCTTTTACGGGATTTATTTTCATGAAATTCGGATTATTAGTACAATACACTTACTTAACTTCTTATCGTCGCGTCAGTAGAATAGTCACTTTCTCAAAATATTCATCCATAGCCATGCCAAACTGTCGTTGATCTGATAAACAAAACAAAAAATGGTTTATTAAAAAAATATGTTCCACTTTCGTTTCTCTAAAATTTGTTCCAATGACATTTGCCCATCATATTGTATTGACATTTGAAAAGCGATCGATTCGCTGTGTGACATTTCAAATAATAGAAAAACAAATATCATGGAGTTTCACATGCAACAGGCGTGAAAAAATTTCGGCAGTATCAATTTTTTAGATACTTGAGAGATATTCAAATACGTATTCGACTTCTTTATCAAGTTATTTTCGATTTAGGCATTGTCCTAATACAACGCGATAACGCGAATGAGCGATGCGATCATCGTCCGAGTCGACGATCAAACATATTGATCTAGAATAGGTGTCTTAATAGGCGATCGCGCGATGCATTCGCGCGACTAAAATGTTTAAAAATCTATTCGTTCCAACGAAGTTCGCGCGAACAAAGTTCAATCAAGCCTATTAATGATGAATAGGTGTCCTAACTGAAGTTCGCGCGATGATCGCGTCGCGTCGATAGGAAGCGGGGAGAGCGGCAGGGCTAACCCGTTCCGTATTCGCGTTCTATTAGGACACCCAGTTCGCGATCACGCGATGGTCGCGTCGTTTAAACGCGCGATGATCGCGTTATCGCGTTGTATTAGGACAATGCCTTAGGCGCTGGCTGAAAATCTGCGCTAAGTACTACTACACAGCAGCATAACTCTCAGCGACCTGTTAGTCCTGCACAGCAACACCTTAAATTAGTTTTATTGTTTTTTTTTCTTTGTTGTTCTGTTTTTCTTTTCTGTTTTGTTTCTAATGTATGCTGTGTAACCAATAAATGATTTATTTCTTCTTCTTCTCTCTTTCTTATTTATGAAACAGGGAAACTTTTAAAAAAAAATAGTTTTTTTTTTAATCCATTTAAACAAAAAGGAGCGTTATTCATCGGAATCAAATAAAGCAATGTCTCACTCAAAGAACAAAACAGGATCATTTATTGATTAACGAAATAGAGTAAATGTAATTAATAATTTACTATACAATTAACATCAACGAACGCGCATGCGCAAATTGTTAATAAAAAATCGGTTGTGTTAGTGCTATTTAAATTTAGAATCACTTCAATAGCATTTTTGTGCTAAAGTAAATATAATAACATATATTTATAAAGGTATTTAAAAAAATACTGCACCGGATTTGATCCCAGGAATGAGTTTAAAATTTCCAGTAAATAGTAGGCTCTTTAAATATATTATTAAAGACAACACTTAAAATAAAAACGAAAATACCAATTATACAGGTACTTTTCAGTTAATTTATTACACAAACATCACTCAGTCCCTCTAATATCCGGAAATTTAAATTGCTTCCCTGTAACGAAATATAATTTTTATAAACCACTATCTCTTATCTATTAGACAAGTCCGTCCGTCCGTCCGTGGTGCTGTTTCAGCGGCCAAACCGTAAGAGATAGATATAGAGAATGTTTAAGTTATAAGTTAAGAATAGTCTGATAAGACTACAAACCGGATGTGAGTAACGTAGCACTTCCGGTTTTCGAGAAATCACGTGATTTCTATTTCAAACGAAACCACACAAAATCTCAGAAGTTCTCAATTAATTAAATACATTTTTTTTTTGGTGAACATTTGGTTCACTGGTTTGATAGTATCTAAATAATATCTCACATTTAAATGAAAATTATTTAAAAAGCCGCACTCAAAGAAGAGAGGAATAAAAAATAATGAATAAACAAATTAATAGCGAATAAGCAGCGTAACTGTAATCTTTGCTATACAATAGACATCAACGAGCGCGCATGCGCAGTAATATTAATAGGTACCGAAAAGATTAATAATTACACTTTTGGCTTTAGACTAGGCTTTAGAGAAAAAAAAATTACTTGAATTGAAACTACTGTTACGAGTTAAATTATAAGCATTAATAAAAAAAAAGAGTGTGTTTATGACCACACGACTAAAGTGAAACTTCTTTAGCTCCATCTATCTGTATATATGTATACATATATATTTGTGTGTACAATATATACATGTATGTACATTTTCAATGTGCGCGCACACTGCTTTCTCTTGCTTATATCTCCTACTAAACTCCCGTTCGCCTCGCCCGAACACACTTTTCGTAACGCGTAACGCTTTCGCCAGCAGGGGTAACCCTCAAGTCAAGCATTCGTACAGAAGTTTCACTTCAAAAATAACTGAATCGAAAGTTTAAAAGTACTTTGTCCGATAAACAATAAATTTGCACTACATTTTGCTTTTAATTCAAATTTGAAAGCTAATCATTTTGAAGCCTCATTGTAACTCTTTTTGAATAAAAACAATTGACAAAGACGAAGAAGAACAAAAGAAGAGAAGAATTGATGTATTAAACAGGATGAAACCGTCATTGGAATTAAGATATCAGTAATGAGAATATTTTTATGGGAATCACAAACCTGGACCTACATATTAAACCATTACAATCACATAAGGCTCGTATTCCAGCAAGATTTCATCATCAGCCTATTAATGTCCCCAATTTTGGGGCACAAGCCTTCCCTACGGATGGAATAGGGAGACTGGGCCATGGCCACACCACACGGACCCAGTGCGGATTGGCGGGTGCTAACGACTGCAGATACAACCGGGACCAACGGCTTAACGTGCCTTCCGAAGCATGGAGCAACTCAAGATAAAAGATTTTTGGTCACCCATCCAATGACCGACCACTGCGAAGGTTGCTTAACTTCAACGATCGCAGACGAACGCGCTAACCACCTGCGCCATCGAGCTCCTCTCGAGCCTCCTATCGAGCACCAAGATTTATTTACAAGTAAAAGTCCCAATTGGCATAATAAGCAATCACCAACATCCATTTCCACTCACAAGAAAGTATAAAAGAGTGGCTCACGGCAAGAAGTTGCTCAATAAATGTAGATGGAAACTGTAAAATATGACCGTCAAACAAGAAAGTGGTAAACGAAAGGAAAGTTCCTCGCCTAATTATGAAGGATTTAC